CGTTTTGACAACGATTTAATTGAACCTTGAAAAAAAAGTTTTTTAACTTTTGTTGAAAAATAATTCTTGAAAATGGAAGTTGTGTTTGGACATGCATTTTATTTGAAGAAAATTTGAAGTTTTGTGAGTGAGAAAAATTTCACCCAGAAAATATCGTAAACCAGTTTTTGGGAACTTGGAAATTTTTGTTTTTTTTCCCAAAACATGTTCATATTCTATAAACAAACAATGTTTTCAATTTTTTTTAATAAAGCCAAAATACATGGTTAAACAGGAGCTTAAACTAAGTTAATTGCCAAACTAATTTTTGGTGTGATTAATTAATTAAGCTTAAAACATAATGATAATTTTCTGAGAATAAAAAAAAAACTGAAAATAGGTTAAAGATTTATATATTTTGTCTTCCATAAATAATGTGAGATCTTCAATTTATTTCGATAAGACAAATAATTTAGCATATGAATTAATATTGACATAATTTACTACTTTTGAACTGAGGTGTGTTTAACGATTATTTGATATGTTGATGAAATTTTATAAAAGCTTGTTCCTATTAGGCCATCCTTACTATCAAACGCCACTTTAAATCCATTTCATGATATTATATACGGATCAAATATATCATAGCATGTCTTCTACAATGAAATTTGGTAAGTAAAATCTCGAATAACGTTTTATACACTAATAAGAGATGTATGAAGTCTCATAAGAGAGGAGTCATCAGTTGTTAGTTGACTTTATAATTGGCTAGTTACACATTTACCTGGTCAATTAAAAATAATCATATTTGCTAGTAAAGTATACAAAAACATGTACTGGTTATGTATATTGTGCATTAATATGCAAAAAATATAAAATCTACCGGCCGCTATTATTTTATAGGAGCGACTATATTGAATTGAGANATATATATAATATTAATATTAATATTTTATGGTAGTTGTTATTGTTGTGGTAGTTTACGGTATACTTTTTGACTAACGATGTAATTAGTTTTGACGGACCGGTCAATGTTATACTTTGCCCTAAAAAATTCCCTTTATATACATACATAGTCCGACCGTGAGTTGTGACGAGTTGTGACCCGTTATTGATTTTTCTAGAAGAACTGAGACTCATAGCCTGTTTGTCAAAGCTTCTAAAATCGACTTATTTGGAGAAGTATTTTTCTCAAAAATACTTTTTTAAAATAGTATTTTTGATGAGAAGCAGTTTGTGTTTGGCTATTTAATTTAAAAAAGTACTTTTGAGTAGTAATTAGTGTTTTGCCAAGCTTTTGAAAATTGCTTTTAAGTGTATTTTCTCCAAAAGTACTTCTTAGAAAAGTATTTTTGGAAAAAAATTATTTTTTTCTGCTTCTCAAAAACTATTTCTATTTCTCCTCAAAAGCGTGACGGACCGGGTCAAACTGAGGAGCTTGTTGTGGAGATAGGTTTTCGGTTCGTGAACCGAATGTCTCACATGACGACTCCAAACTTGAGTCCCGGAACCACAGTGTCACGACGCAAACCGATGGCCCACGACGGACACCCGGTACCTTATTCAACCGAGTACCAACGTAATGTATCTCTCGTATCATACTATCATAGGTAAATGAGCCGGAGAGGCTATCGTGAGATAAGTAGAATAAAGCATGAAATACCAACTTGGGCCTATAAGACCAAAATGATCACTCGTACACTAAACATAGGCCGACAAGGCCATACAATATTTTACTTACATGGCATATGTCTACAAGCCTCTAAGAGTAGATAAATATCATAAAGGTCGGGACAGGACCCCACCATATTAAACAATACACGTTTGAATCATACTGACCAAATAAGTAACTTCGGAGCAAATGGAGCACATCGACATCTTCCGCTGAGCTGATAGCCTACTTGGGTAACTCTCAACCTATCTATCGGGACATGCGTGCATAAAACGTAGCGTCCCCAGGCAAAATGGACGTCAGTACAAATAAAGTACCGAGTATGTAAGGCATGACAATAGTATATAAAAGACATGAAAGAAACATGGAGTAAAGAACTCAACCTGTAATTCTGAATAGCTCTGTGAATCATGAAAATTTATAATGTCATGCATGTGCGTATAAATGTCATACCATGCATAGGTATATGCGTACATAACATCATCAAGTCTATGAGGGCATCCCATCATATCATCTCAGCCACTGTTGGCAAAATCATCAACGTATACCAGCTGATCATGTGGTGGTGCGTATATAACGCCGTAACCTTTTCTCATATCCCATATACATATAATATATGCGTATATAACGCCTTCTGATCATGGGTTAATGTACATGCATAAATACATGAAATGCATAAGAAGTACGTTTATAAGATTTCTCGAATATCATAAAATCAATATGCCTTTCGAACAAACTTTATCAAATACGTATTTTTCTGAGACCCATGAATAGAGGATATAATAATAATTCACACGGGGAATCAAGAATATCGACATCCCTAGTATTTCTATGAATAGAGTCATTTATGAAAGTTGCGTATTTTGCTCGTTTCGTTTGTATCATTTGGATCATGCCAAAAAGAAAGAAGGGATAGCCTTAACATACCTTAACTCCATTGAGTCCTTAATACCTTCCAAGCAATTCTTCAAACAACTCAACTCAATCTGCCATAGCATAAGGAGATTTAAAATCAGTGTTGAGTAAAGGCTAAGTCCGCAACTTAAACTAGTAGCTCGTTTACGTAAATTTGGGCAGCATCTCCCCTGTAACTAGGCCCTCCTCCAATACCATATACCAACAACAACAAGAGCACAACAATAACAACATGTAAGCATAATTTTCCAACCTTATCTCCACCACAATATACCACAAAATAGCGTACACACCCTAATCACTTCATACATAAAACGACAACCAAAGTAGTGTCAAATAACTTAAATAATGTAACGACGAATGGCCAGTCCACCATTCCATCATTATGTGGTATTTCTCCACACCATTTGTCCTCCAAAACTCCATTAAACAGTAAAAAAATATACATCCCAAAGGCAACACGAAACAACCCACAAAACAGTCCACTACAATTCAAATAACTAGAACTCACGGCTTTCGATCATTGTCTCGTGAGTTCTAACTATTAGGAAATGAATTTGTCAAAATTCCTTGATATTTAAACACTTAAATACAGAAATTAAGAATTTTATTAACTATTAAATACATTCCAAAACTCAATCTACAAAGAAAAAGAGAGGCCATATAGCGATACTTACGTTATAGGGATCGTTTTAATGTTATCGCTTCTTGATTCCGTGCCCGGGATGATACTATTCTTTGAAACACGAGATCAGGGACTGTTTTTATGGTGTTCTCTGGTTAGGTTCTATGTAGAAATGAAGAGAGAGACGAGTTAAGACATATATATCAACTTTTGAAAAGTCAAAAGGTGCTAGCTTTGCACCCTCTCATTCGCCCATTTTCCGACTCTTATTTATTTTTATCCGGATGTTTTATGAATGAACGGTTAAGAGCTTTGGAAACTACATTCCAATATCTTCAATTTGGTATATAATATGTCCCAAAAATACCTCATATAGTATACAAAATTTATTTCTCAAAAAGCTCTGTTACAGGGCAAATCCTTAGTTGGTTTTTTCGCAACTTTAATTCGATTTTCCCTAAACTTTATATGTTTTATCCAAACATCATATATAGTCATATTATGACTTTAAACTCATTTAAATCATGATTAACAAATCTCATATTCATTATACGTCACCTTGGGACGCACAGGGTGTAACACACAACCATTCAACAGGATTCAAAATGCCAAGGCTCGAAGAAATAATATTTTTTCCTTCTAAAACCTTGGCCAAACACCTCAATTTTTGGCCAAAAGTAAGGTTGTTCAAAATCGAATCGAAACCGTTAACCGAACCGAATCGATAACTTATTGGCTTATTGGTATCGGATTATCGGGATAATGGATGGTGAACGGATTAAGATTTTATAATTAACGGCTTAACGGTTTGGGAGTGGATTACATAATTTTCTTATCGGGTAAACCGTTAACCCGCTAAGAATTTTTATATTTACACTTCTACCCATATGTATATAAAGTACTTTTGAAACCCTAAATGGCTAAATACCTAATTTTTATTTTCTAATTCTCAATTGTCTGCATCCACCAGAGGCAGAAAAGTCGCCAGTCTTGTCTCTCTCTTGAACTGAAAACTGAGAAATCAAAAAATCGAAATCTCAACGATTAATACGTGTATGTCTATATGAGTAGTGTTGATGGTATTAAAAATTTGGTTAATACGTGTATGACAGTATAAATAGTCTTGAAGACTCTTCAATTAAAAAATACTGTTTGGTTAGATCTTAGATGGTATTAAAAATTTGGTTAATACGTGTATGACAGTATAAATAGTCTTGAAGACTCTTCAATTAAAAAATACTGTTTGGTTAGATCTTAGATGGTATTAAAAATTTGGTATTTATTTGAAACTGTTTGGGATTGATTGAATGATTGTTGAGAAAATTTCTATTTGGTTTAGCCGATAAGCCGCCCGATAACCGCATGATAATTGTTAATCCGATACCAATCCTCCCGTTGTCTTATTGGATGGTTAGCAGATTACTATATTTATAATATGATAACCGTTAAGCCGAACCGTTAATCGTAATTATCCGCCCGATAAGCACCCCTAGCCAAAAGCACTTTTGACCCCAAAAAAAAAGTACTTTTGGCCAAAAAAAAAGTTTGGCCAAACAAAATAGCAAACCATTCTATTGCTACGATCTTTGTGCATCGAGCTACCTGTCGAGTTGATATGGCCTCTAAAATGGAGGGTACTAATGCAATTAACCACATGTCGAGGGGTAAAATTACAAATAATCTACCCTTGGGGTGGTTTTTCTTGGTGGGAAAGTAGAGGACCAGTTCGTTATATTCGAAAATTCAAATCATTCGGAATCCAATGGACTAAAGCAAAAGCATCATTCTCTCTCTCTCACACACACACATAGTGACAGAGCCCAATATATATATAAAGAGACAAGACTTCAAATTCAACTTTCCCTAAACCACACCACCATCTCTCACCTTTGCCTCTTTCCTGCAACTGTCTTACATCTTCCTCAATTTTATTCCCTCCTCAAAACCCTAAAATTTTCTTCGCTATTAAACCTGTGAAATCCAAAAAGATTCAATTTTCTCCGTTTTATTCCAAGTTTTTTTTTCATGTTTTTGACCCTTTAAGTGAAAAAAAGGGAAAGCCAACTGATCAAAAGTGAAAGTTGAGCCAGAAAATAGCTAAAGGTGTGGACTTTTGGACCCAGTTTCTTATATAGCCTTTTTTGTGAATTATGGAGCTTTGGCCAAATTATTAATAGGTCAATGAGTTTGTGCTAAATTCTGTTTATGTCTATTTGTTTTTCTCACTATAAACCCAAAAGGATTCAATTTTTCCAGGATTCAAGTAGTTAAAAGGTATTGACTTTTGTACCCTGTTTGTTATATGTTACTCTATTTGTGAATTATGGAGCTTTGGCCAAATTATTTATAGGTCAATGAGTTTGTGTTAAATTCTGATTATATTTGACCTTTTCTTTTTTGCACTATTGGAATACTGAAAATTCCAGAAACTAAAGTTTATTCCTTTATATTACTACAAGAGTTTTTCATGTTTTTGACTTTTAAGTGAAGAAAGGAAAACCAACTGATCAATCTTCTGTTATTGTGAAAGTTGTTACAGTGAAAGTTGTGCCAGAAAATAGTACTCAAGGTTTTGGCTTTTGTATCCAGTTTGTTACATAGTCTCTATTTATGAATTATGGAGCTTTGTGAAAATAAAGCTTTGGCCAAATTATTAATAGGTCAATGAGGTTATGTTAAATTCTGATTATGTTTACCTTTTTTTTTTTGTCACTAATGGAATATTGAAATTCCAGAAATTCAATTTCTTTCATCTTTATTCCAAGATTTTGTGTCATAAATTTTGAAGGTTTTAAGGAAAACCCAAGTGTTTCTATGACAGTGCAATCTGTGCCAGAATAAGTTAAAGCTATTGGCTTTGCTACTCGGTTTCCTATGTCACTTTGTGTGAATTACGGAAAGTTATGAAAATAAAGCCTTGGGCTAATTGTTAATTGGTCAATGAGCGTATATTCAACCTACATGTTGTCTCTTTTCGTCTTCTTGAGCCGAGGGTCTATCGGAAACAATCTCTCTACTCCCTCGGGTAGAGGTAAGGTCTACGTACACACTACCCTCCCCGGACCCCATCCCCAGACACCACTTGTGGGATTTTACTGGGTCGTTGTTGTTGTGTTTATGTAGTAATTATAGAATTTTTGGACATTTGTACTGTCTATCTATACTTTCAATGTCTCTCTGTTTTCTTCCAAGATGTACAGTTTTTAAACTTCTGAGAAATAACATAGTGAACAATACTGATACTTTTCATAGTACAATCAGTTTTTATAAAGTCGGTTAAGGTATTGGATTTATGTGTGTGAATTGTGGAGTTTCCAGAACATTTCTTCAGGCTACTCTGTGTTGACATGTTTTTCCCCTTTTTCTGTTTTTTTGATTCGTAAGAGCTGATAAGGTAATTCCAAGTGATCAATCTTCTATCATACTGAACCTGGTGCTGAGAATTCGATTTAGGCATTGGTTCTGTTGTATGAATTATGGAGTTTTGTGGGCATACTCTTCCATTAGTATTTGACTGTGCTGGTTATATTGGAGACATTATGTACACGATGGTGTTTGTTGAGGGCAGCCTTCAATGATTTTGTTACAGTATCTATTATCAAACTGTTACTGAATGGCATATGTGGTTTAACTATTGTTATCATCAATTTTCACTGTTGAAGATTTTGATTCCCAGGATAAAGAAATGGAAGCTAACGGGAAGGACGACTTAAAGAAACCGCTTTTGCAAGATGCTGATGCTGTAGCTGTCAATATGGCTCAACTAAGTGATAGTAGAAATAAAAAGATTAGAACTCTTCTTTTCAAAGTTAATGGCATCACTTGTGCATCTTGTTCGAATTCCATAGAATCTGCGCTGGGAAAGCTTAAGGGGATTGAGAGTGCTACGGTGTCTCCACTTCAAGGACAGGCCGTTGTTAAATATGTGCCAGAACTTATCAGTGTATGTCCAATTTAAGATAATGGAACACTATCTTAATTTTAAGCTAAGAGTATAATCTTCAAACATTCGAGGAATTCAGAGTCCTTGATGACCAAATAACTCAGTTGTCTTTTCATGCTGTTGACAGTCTATTGGTTTTGAAAATCACTATATCTGTTGTTGTTAGTTAACTGATAAATTGATTCTTTTATTTGTGCTTTTCTTTTCCATTTCCAATTTCATGACTTTTCTGTTATAACTGCTCCCTTGAAGTGGCTTGTGTTCCGAACATAATAAAATTGATTGTTGTGACGAAACATTTTCAAACTCAGTTTAATATCTCAAAGAAGGTATGCCATACATTTTGCTCAAAGAAGGGTTTTGATCTCTTTCTCCATTCTAGACTTGCATACATATCTATGCATCTCTCATTGTAAGGAGAAGGTTTACTAATTTCATAAAACAACAAAGGAAATATTCTAGTATGAAGTACCATTTTAAAAAATTTATCCCTGATTTCATATCATCTTTGGGTATGTTGAGCGCTTCCTGAGCTCAACTGAGAAAAGTTGGATCAACTCTAATGTTTATGACCAGTGGCGAAGCCAGGAAATTCAACAAGGGTGTTCAAACCTTTGCCGGTGGGCTATGTAAGGGTGTTCAAAGCCTATTTTTAATCAATAACAAGTAATATTTTACCTTATACGGAGTATAATTTTCCGGCGAAGGGTGGTCAGTTAACCATCCTTGGTTGCACGTAACTTCGCCCATGTTTATGACTTCAGAGATTGATTTAATGGTGGTTGATGCTTTATTTTTCTTCTTTGTTTATATTTCCTTATTTCTAGTAATTTCACAAAAGATATGGTTATACCAGGCAAAAAAGATAAAAGAGGCAGTCGAAGACACTGGTTTTGAAGTTGATGAGTTTCCAGAGCAAGACATTGCTATCTGCCGGATCAGAATCAAGGGGATGGCATGCACAAGCTGTTCTGAGTCTGTTGAACGTGCCCTTTCGATGACTGATGGAGTAAAGAAAGCCGTGGTTGGTTTATCTCTTGAAGAAGCAAAAGTTCATTTTGATCCAAATGTTACCAGTACCAGCCGGATTGTTGAAGTAATAGAAGATGCTGGATTTGGAGCTGATATAATTAGTTCAGGCAGCGATTTAAATAAAGTACACTTCAAGCTAGAAGGCATCAATTCTCCAGATGATTTTACTGTTATTCAATGCTGTCTCGAGGCGCTGGAAGGTGTAAACACTGTTGAAATAAACCAGCAAGAGTATAGAGTGACCATAAGTTATGAACCAGATATAATTGGTCCAAGAACCCTAATGCATTGTATTCAAGAAGCTGGGCATGGGTCGAGTACTTATCGTGCAAGCCTTTATATCCCACCAAGACAGCGAGAATTAGAGAAAGAGCATGAAATCCACACTTATAGGAACCTGTTTTTGTGGAGCTGCTTATTTTCAGTGCCAATATTTGTTTTCTCAATGGTGCTTCCAATGCTTCCCCCTTATGGGAATTGGTTAGAGTATAAGGTTTTCAACATGCTTACTGTTGGATTATTGTTAAAATGGATCCTTTGCACTCCTGTGCAGTTTGTTATTGGTCGAAGGTACTCTTTACAATGTGATTGCCTTTTTTATTCTGAACTGTCTGTTGTAGAAATATAATAATTTCTAGTAATAAACTTTTTATCTAGGTTTTATGCAGGATCATATCATGCACTGAGACGGAAATCTGCAAACATGGATGTTCTGATTGCATTGGGCACTAATGCTGCCTATTTCTATTCGGTTTATATTATGATAAAAGCATTGATTTCAAATTCCTTCGAGGGGCAAGATTTCTTTGAGACTAGTCCAATGTTGATATCGTTTATATTATTGGGGAAATACCTAGAAGTTCTTGCAAAAGGAAAGACGTCAGATGCTTTGGCAAAGTTGACAGAGCTGGCTCCTGAGACTGCTTACCTATTAACATTGGATGGTGCTGGGAATATTATTTCTGAGACAGAAATTAGCAGTCAATTAATACAAAAGAATGATGTACTTAAGATTGTTCCGGGGGCAAAGGTTCCTGTAGATGGCGTTGTTATTAATGGTCACAGTTATGTGAATGAGAGTATGATCACTGGAGAAGCTAGGCCTGTTTCCAAGATGCCGGGTGATAAGGTACTCAAGATTTGTTGGTTATGGGTTTCACACTTTTTTGTTTTCAAATGTAGGCATTAAAAATAAATATTTAATTAATAGGTCATTGGTGGAACTGTAAATGAGAATGGATGTGTACTCATCAAAGCCACTCATATTGGTTCGGAGACTGCACTCTCACAAATTGTTCAGTTAGTTGAAGCTGCTCAGCTTGCCAGAGCACCTGTTCAGAAACTTGCTGATCAGATATCGAGATTTTTTGTACCCACGGTGAGTCTTATCAATTTAAGTAGAAACCACTACAATTCTTGTTAGATAATTTTGTTTTTCTGAATGAAACGAAATTAATGAAGATATGTTTGTCGTATCTTTAATTGTCGTATGTTTGTTTGAGCAAAAGAGATACTCCCTCGACATGTAATGAAGATATATGTTGCAATTGATATCTTCAGTATATTCCTCTCCTCTTAGAAGCCTTTTTGACAATGCACCATTACTTTAAATACTAACAACAACATACCCAGTTTAATCCCACAAGTGAGGTTTGGGGAAGGTAGTGTGTATACAGACCTCCCTACCTTGTGTAGATAGAGAGGTTATTTCCGATAAATCCTCAGCTCAAGAAAGGCAATATCACAGCAGTTTAAAAGAAATAGGATAACGAAGAAGACATGGAAAAAGAAGTGGTAACAACAACAAAATAAGAAGAAAACCAAAGCAGAAGAAACATCACGTAGTAATAGAAATCTAAGAACAAGGAAAGACACTCGACTACCTACTAACCTTCTACTCTAATTCTCGACCTCCACACCCTCCTATCAAGGATCATATCCTAAGTAAGCTGAAGATGTGCTATATCATGTCTGATCACCTCTCCCGAGTACTTCTTTTGGCTTACTTCTACCTCTCCTTACACCCACCATGGACAACCTCTCACTCCTCATTGGGGCATCCGTGCACCTCCTATTCACGTGCCCGAACCATCTCAGTCTCGCTTCCCGCATTTTGTCCACCACGGAGGCCTCCCCCACCTTATCCTGAATCATTACTTTAAATACTGATGGATGTAAACAGTGAAATCTATAGCGAAGACCATGGCCAAATATCCTCTGGTTTATTCTAAGACCTTAATCTGAATGATTAGGATAACAATAATTTGGAGCCTGTCATAGTTTCTAATGTATTATAATACAGCACAGTTCATATGATAAGAGAATGAATATAGCTTTTGAGACCTAAAATGGTGCTTATTAAGTTGACCTTATTCACTGATTTAGCCAGTTATCTGCACAAAAGCTAAAACAATCATATTTTATTATTATTTCAGGTTGTTTTAGCTGCAGTCATGACATGGCTGGCGTGGTTTATCCCTGGAGAAGTAGGTGTATATCCTTCAAGTTGGATACCAAAAGGAATGAGTGTATTTGAGCTTGCATTGCAGTTTGGTATATCGGTATTGGTGGTTGCTTGCCCCTGTGCTCTCGGATTAGCTACTCCTACAGCAATTATGGTTGCCACCGGAAAGGGC